AGGTATTCTTTCCAAATGTCTCCTCCTATACATAATACTATATTATAATACTATAATATTATAATTATGTAATTAATTAATTATATTATAATTTGCTATATAGCTTGTTATATAACATCAATTATATAATAATTATATTATATTAAATAATAATATAACACCTGTTCCGGGTGAGTGAAAGGTTATCGTATCAGTCCTTGGCATTGCGCAGTTTTATCGACAGCCACTTTTGTTTCTCAGGGGTTGATTTACCAGGGAGCAGCAATGATCAATGACCACAAAATCGAGAAATGTGCCCAGATGCTTTTGTGAGCATCTTCCTCCACATGGAGCGAGCCCCGTTTCCATACAGCACAGGAGAATAAGACAGGCACGCACAGCAGAGTCCTCAAGGAAACCTCCAGTAGGGGCTGTGAGGGTGGGCTGGGGGTCCGACGTCCCAGAACTGGCCTAGCACTCAAAGCGTGCATCCTTGGACAGTTGCACAACCTCTCTGGACTCCAGTGGCAGGTGTCACTTGGATGACCTCAGAGTCACCAAGCCACCAGGCCATGATTCTAGTTTGCCAGACTTCCTGCTTCTAGTTTTTAATGTCTCCTACCCTTCTTTAGTCTACATTTTTGAATACTATCAAGATCTGAGAAGGAATTGGTCACAAAAAAGGAGGCTCCGTTCCTCCTACTTGGGGCCCTGTGGGAAGCCCTGACCTCAAGCTTAGTGAGCAGAGGGCCTGGCTTTATCGGAAATGTTGGCAGCTCTCTCCCTCTATCCCTCAGAGACGGCTCCGTGTCTAGTCCTTACTTAGAGTTACAACTCTCGGAATTCTTTTAGACTTTGAGAGTTTGCCGAGATGCTTAGAATTTTTGTTGATGCAGCTAAATACTTGCTTCTCACTTTCTTCCTGTCTGCTGCCCAGGGTCTGGGAGAGNCTAATCATCAGGGAAATGCAAATCAAAACCACAATGAGATGCAATTTCACATCCAGTTGGATGGCTACTAAAAAAGTAAAAATAAGAAAGGAAGGTGAGACTAAAGAAACTGGAAACTTTGGGTATTGCTAGTAGGAATTTAAAATAATGCAGCTGCTGTGGAAAAAGCAGATAATTCTTCAAAAAATTAAACATAGAATTACTATATGATCCAGTTATTTCAATCTTATTTATAACCCCAAAGAATTGAAAGCAGGGTCACAAACAGATACCTGTACACCAATGTTCATAGCAGCATTACTCACATAGCCAAAGGACAACCCGAATGTCTACTGACCGATGAAAGGATATATTCTCTCAATGGAGCACTACTAAGCTTTAAAAAGCAGTGAAATTCTGATGTGTGCTACAACGTGGATGAACACTGGAAACATTACGCTAAGTGAAATAAGCCATATACAAAAGGACCGATATTGTATGACTACACGTACGTGAGTTACCTAGAGTAGTCAAATCCATAGAGACAGAAGGTAGAATACAGATTAGCAAGGGCTGGGGGGGAGGGGGAGGAGGAGATATTAGTTAATGTTAACGATTTGGGGAGGGGGTCAAAAGACAAAATTACAAAAAATTTAAAGATCTAATTGGCTCTTATTTGTGATTCTAAAATAGGGCAACATCTCATTCCATAAAATAGAAAGCATGTTTGAATAAGCCGAGCAGAGGAGATTGGCTTTATAGACAGAAAATTGCTGCAGAAAGCAGAAACAGAGCAAAAAGCAGATTCGTCATTTTGAAGTCACTTTTCTTGTAAAGGTCAAGACGGAGGGGACTTCCTTATCATATCCCCTGAAACTGGCTTGTTTGGGGATTTGGCTATTATCTCTCACTCTCCTGGTTTCTCAGGAGTTCAAATAAACCACTTAGTTTCAGCTGGGGGCGTGGAACTTCAGCCAGGCAGCTCCATGTTGGTTTGGTCTGCTGGCCCAGTGCAGGAGCTCAACCCAAACCAATGCCCCTCTGTGAATTTTATTTAATGTGCTTACTGTTTACTGGGTATAGACTTTCTGTTTGGAGTGATGGAAATGTTCTGGAAATGGACGGTGGTGATGGTATACAACATTGTGAATGAACTTAATGCCACTGACATACACTTAAAACGGTTAAAATGGTGAGTTTTATGTTATGCAAATTTTCCTACAATAAAGGTGTGCACTGGGAAAAATTCACAGCAGTCAAGAAGGAAACTGGGAGGAGAGTGACGCTCTGGAGGTGAAGCTACACCAACGAAACCATTGAAGCTGCGGAGACGAGAGGTCCACCCTCCTGAGAGAGTGTGGCCAAGTGTCTCAAGTGTCTCAGGGGTTTGGAGTAAAATACAGAAATACGTTAAAAACCCAAATAAGTTTATGATGTTGACAAGTGATGTGGTGCTCATCGTGGCCAGATTACAGCAGAGACAATGAACAAAGAGCGATCTTTCAAAGAAAATGAGATTTGTGGCTGTCAGTGCTGCTTTGGTCCATAAAAAATAGAATCTATGTGGGGCTGGATCACAGACCCCTCTGCCCCACCCGGTGCAGGTTGTGAGTCGGGCAATTGAAAAAAGATTCTGGTGACTCATAACAGGGTAGATATGCTTTGTTCCAACCTGAACTCTGCCGGCCAGCGGTTCAGAGCCACTGCCTTTTATACCAAAAGTACACAACAATGGCAGCGAGCCGAGGGGTACATGGGCACACATGAGCAGTTACAGCACTCTTATATAACTTGAATCATACCTGGCTGGATATGAGGTGAGGAGGCCTGACTATACCGCCCCATTTTTCCTCAGAGTATAGGAGAGCAGACAATTTCCTAGGACGTAAGGGAAGCGGGCTCCATGCCACAGAAGACAATGGGTTTCAGCAAAGGAGGTGTTTGAATGAAGCTCTGGGTGAAGAGGAGGTGACATTAGTTGGAGGAGGTGTGGTTTGTTTGTTGTTTGGTTTGGTTTTTAAATGATAGAATAAGTTTCTGGAGCAAACAGCAGAAGTGGGAGGGAGGGCAGCCTTGGCAATGGGTGACTAGAAAGACCTCGTCTTTGAGCCAGTGCGGTTTTGGAGAAACCAGGCTTATGATTTGATGCCTAGTTTGTTCATAGCTGAAAAGCAGCCAGTCAAAAAATTAGCTAGTGGCACCTGCATTAGATAGCTTTTTTTTTTTTAACTTGGAGCAGTCAAATCACCAAATGTTCCTTATTTTCTATTTATTTTATTTTTATTTTTAAACTTTTCCTCCTTAGGAAAAAAATGTAATAGGAAATAGAGTAGGAAAATATCATATAAATGTAAAATATAAAATATAAATGCAATAGGAAAATATAATAAAATGGATAAATGCCCAGGTTCTGGGTTCAGACTGCCTGAGGATAACCCTGATTCTTCTTTTCATGCACTGATAGAATTTGATTTCCTTTCTTTTTCATGCTTCAGTTGTCATATTGGCAAATGAGAATAATAAAGCAGTTCGACCCTGGGGGTTTGCTTGAAGGTTCAATGAGACGTTTCAAGGAGAGCACTTGGAGGGCTGCTGCGCAAAGGGTCTCCCCTCCCTCCTGTCCCTTCCTCCGCGCCGTCCTCTTCCCTACCCCCTTGTCCTTCTCTCCTTCTCTTTCTTTAGGGGATTTCCTGTGCATAGGAGGTGAGTCTAAGACATTTTTCAAACCAGACTTCTCTATCCTTGTGCTATTCAAAACGAGGTTCTGGCTCAGCAGTATCAACAATCCACTAGGAATTCAGAAAACTAGCCCCCAACCCCCAGACCTCCCTCATCAGACCTTCAATAGCCCCACGTCTGGCGGAGAGGCAGTGCGGTGCTTGGGTGTCCAGCTGGCTGCTGTGGTCTGTCTTATTTCACCGATCTTCTGCTCTGAACTGATTCATTCCAGTCCCACACTCAGACAAATCAAAGAGAAATGAAAACGACAAGGCTAAAAAATTGCCCAAGGAACAACGTTTTTTCACTACTGTTTTTTATGTTCGGAATAAAAATAATTAGTAAGGTTTCCAAATCTTTTCTTACCCGTGCTTCACTTGCTCTTCACATCAATCTCACAAGGTGAGGGGAGACAGCAACTGTCCCTGCTGACTGAGGACAAGGACGCTGAGTCATGGCAACAAGCAACCCACCCAGGCTGCATTTCTGTCCTCTTTGTGAATACAAGATTCAGGGCAGAGAGACTTTCCTCCTTTGTCCAGAGGAATCTTTTTTAAATTGATGGAAACACCATAGGAAACAGGGGCAGGCATTCTATATAGAGCAAAATTTCTGTGACGAGCACTGGGGCTGAGAACACAGTTGCTGGGACTTGAAGCTGCAGCCCAGCAGTGCTCAGCACAGAGATTCCAGGACACCTGGGGTGGGAGCTCAGGCTGCTGCTGGTCCTCTGGTTTTCCTCTCTTCTCCACTTGCAGAGCCAGGTCAAGACCTGGCGAATTCACTGCCAATGTTCCCGGAGGATGGAGGCCAGGTAGGCTCAGGAGAAGTTGCCCCAGTGGAGGTGTAGGTCTCCATTACTGTTGGAAGACAACAGTGGGACGTGTCTGTCGATTACTCCCATTAACAAGGAGCTGTCAGCTTGTCGACACTGTAATGGACGTGCCCAGATTTGTGGTCAGACTCCCAGCCAAAGGGACAGAGAGATAACACAAATGACTCAGGGGACAGCTGGTTCAGTTCCAATATAAATTTCTCAGTGGGGATCAATCACTCCTCGGAGAGTCCACAGGATTGACTGACAGGTGCTGGGGTGGAGAGAGGGGGTGTGGAGCTGCTGAGAGGGGCGCCTGCACTGCTGGGCCCTTAGGAAGCCAGCTGGCAGACTTGTCAAGAGGGTGGCGTTGGCCTGCAGAATTTGTGCTTGATCACTCCACCTCCAACATGCTGACCTGTCCAGGGAGGGTGAGAATAGAAGGTGAAGTCCCATTCTG